AGATGCAGCCACCTGCCTCTCCGTTTACTATCTAATAATGAAGTTATGGGTTTTTGCTGGTAAGATAAATATAAGATAGTTGCTTTAATTTCTTCTTTGGTCCACTTCTATGAAATCTTCCATTTACATCAAAGATTTTTATTTGACATGTCAGAATTTGTATAAAAACATGTGGATGGAGCCATAGCAATCATTTCCTGCTTTGGTTGAGACAAAGAAAACTGAATAACTGCACCTTTAGAGTATTAATACGGATGTGTCTGTGTTGCTGCATATGAACCCTGTTCTAAGCCTCTTTTGTTGAGGTAGGAATTTTACATCTTAGAGCTGTTAAAGATGTGCTTCCACTTCCTTTTATTTGTTTTGTTGTGCACTCACACCGAATAAGCAAATACATCACAAAATTACCGCATAAAACACACACACACACACACACACACACACACACACACATACAGGCAGTAATGTGATTAGAAGAGCTGAGGATTTCCAGATTATTATAATAACATAAATGACTAATAATAATATTTTGTGTGTGTGTGCGTGTGTGTGTGTGTGTGTGTGTAGTCAGTAACTCACTCTAGTTTCTCCAGTTTACAGTGCGAATCCTTCAATAGATCACAGAGCTCCTTCACTCCTGACTCTCCTGGATTATTGTCAATCAGACTCAGGTCTCTCAGTGTGATGAAGGGTTTAATTTTAAAGCTTTAAACAGATCAGCACAGCCTTCCTCTGTAATACTGCACCAATCCAGCCTGCAGAGACAAGAAGAAAAACTTCACACTTACAGCTCAGCACTCACACACACACACACACACACACACACCCCACATATTTATAAAGGTTTATCTGTGTGTTACTGAGCAGTGACGTCAACATCAGTGGTTAATTAATACCTAGTGTAACATGCCAGTAAGAAAAGTGAAAACATATTTAACAATCTGTAGTGAAGATTGCAGTGAAAATGGACGAGTGAAAAAGTTAAGCAGTCTCCACTGAAAAATAAAAACAAAAGAGTTCTTTAATGAAAGAATATGGTTCTATATACAACCATGAACACCTAAAGAACCAAAAAGGGTGCTTCTATTGTTATGGTGTCAAGCTTGCTGCTATAAAAGAACCCTTTTTCAAAAAGGCTCTATACTAGAACCATCTACAGCACATTCTTCATCAATTTCAACAACTTCATGATGCAAATAACCCTTTATTCATGCAAAGGGTTATTTGGGTGTTCACGGTTCATGAATCATATGCTTAATCATTTATTGTTTTGATGTTTGATGACAGTATTCATAATAAATTATTGTTTCTCTGAGGACACATTATAATATTTACATTATTGTTGATTCTACATCTAAAACTTGAATAAACATTGATGGTGTGTAATGTAAGTGGCCACACTTATGGAGAGCAAGCAGGCTCACTGTGCTGAGGTGCAGACAAAAGCAAAACAATTTGGGTTAGTAAAGCTCTTAACTTTGGCTTTAGGGATGAAACATCACAGGAACATGATGTACGGACAAATATAATGACTCAGGAAATCTCCAAGAAAACACACACACACACACACACAAATGCAGGCAATAATGTAATTAGAAGATCTGATGATTTCCAGATTAATACAACATCGATAACTCTAATAATAATATTTTTGTGTGTGTGTGTGTGTGTGTGTATGAGTCATAACTCACCGTAGTTTCTCCAGTTTACAGTGTGGAATCTTCAGTAGTTCACAGAGCTTCTTCACTCCTGAATCTCCTAGTTTACTCTGGTTCAAATCCAGTTCTCTCAGCTGTGATGACGGATTTGATTTCAGAGCTTGAAACAGATCAGTATAGCTTTCCTCTGCAATGTTGCAGTATGTCAGCCTGCAGAGACAAGAAAAAAAAACTCTTCACACTTACAGCTCAACACTCACACAAGCATCACCTACTAGAAATATTTATCTGAGTGTCACCAAGCTATGACATCAGCATCAGTGATTAATCCAGCTCGAAAAAAAAACCCATAGTCCAGATGATATTGCTCTGCTTTTAGCCTTCACATTCCAACAAAGGGCTAAACTAGTAACATGATTCAAACATCAGAACACTCAGCAGACCCAGCTGTCACTATACAGTGAGAAAATCCAGCTGTAAACAAGCACCAGTCAGCAATCCAGCACCTGAAACAGCCAAATCCACTGCTATATTTGCTTTAGCATTCATATTGCAACAAAAAGGTTAAAACAGCGACACAATTCACCCATCACAACGATCACCATTCAGATCCTGCATTTATGTCCATTTAAATTACCAAATTAAATCCCCCACTGCACATGTACAATCTGGAACCTCTCCTTGTGTCTCAAACAGTCCTTGGATTGACTCAGACTCTGAGTTTAGCACTGGTAATTAGAAATTTACAACTAAATACAGATAATTGTGGAGCCGCAGAGCAGACGGGGTAAAAGTAAAACTTAATCTGAGTGAACGTTTTGAGTTTGTATGTACATTTTTTGTTATTCATGGTCACAATTCCTTAATTCATTCCCATGATTAACAATTTGTTCTCTCATTTTCTTTGAGTGCGCATGTTTTCTTTAGGTCGTGGGTACATTTTCTTTTATTTATGGCCAGGATTTCTTGGTTTGTTCTTTCGTTTTCTTTTTATCATGCAAATGTTTTAATTGTGTGCATGCTTATTTTTTATTTGTGTGCAAACAAAATATATGACATAGATACAGATGGGTTATTTGTCCTGTGAACTGTCTGACGTGTTTTGATGTGTTTTTATTTATGCGATAATGGCCAGAAATGCGCTTATTAGGTCTGATTTTAATTTGGGTGCATTATGAAGACACTGTAGCTCCCCTACACAGTGGGGCACTACAATCAGCAAACAGCAGATTCATCGGTGCAGCTGCAGTTTTGTGGTGAAATGAAGAACAATAAACTACAACCACAGCCTTCACTAAACTGCACTTCCTAGTGATTATTTTTAACTGAGATGAAAACAGCGCTGCCGCTTATCACTGCAAGCTGCAGTGTTGGGGCCATCACACAATTACGGGTTGAAATGTTCAGAGTCATCCATTTTAAAATTTTTAAGGATTCTTAGGCAATAAAAATCATATTTACATTTATCATATCATATTTAGTATAATGATTAAACTGATTAAAGATCAAGCAGGTGCCAGGACAACTACATTTATTAAAAAATATATTACACGATTTCGGAATCTACACATCTGTGAACTCACAATATCTCATAAATAAAATCTCTTGGGATTAAAAAGGCAACTGGGTTTTAAACAATAAAATCACAATAATATGTAGAATATGAAATAAATATGTTACACAAGACAAAAATGACATTTAAAGAGTCTCCTTCAGAGTTGCACTGAACTGCTCTCTCTTCTATTGTGAACATCCTGCCCTGACTGCATTAGATGATTAGAATGTAAACAGTAAGACATTCGCAACATAACATCTCATAATAACAAGGAAAACAATATATTACCCATCAAAATATGATGTGGCTTCTCTGGAGTGTTAGAAAAGATTGATAATAGACTATAGGCAAATACCTCATGTTAAAAAAAAAGCACACCTGTAATTGTCCTATATTAATCACATTCTATTTATTAATCATAACTATTGTTATTCAGGAAAAAGTCTGAAGGAAATGCTTCATGGCCAGGTCATTTTTAATTTGCCTGTCCAGAAATGAGACATTTTACTTGCACAGTAGTCCATATTAATGTCATGTGAAACATGCATACTTTATGAATGTTTAAATAAACATTCATGAGCATGTTATGTAAGTGTGTGTTTATGTAAGATGTTATGAATGTCTTATGTATACACCCTTCAAATAATGTGTTACTGAAGGAAATACAGTTAGTACATTTTGATAAAACAGTCAAAGAGGCCTATAAAAAGCCTATGGCTTAAAATATTGCATGTAAAGATTAATAATTCATTTGAAAATAATGTATGAATACTACATAATACTAAGAAGTTTTTATGCTGTGACACAAAAATATATTAACCTGTTTTGGGAACAAACAACTAGTTTTATTTAACTTGAATAAATACTTTGAATGAAACAATGAAAAAGTAAAAGTAAAACTCAGTATTTCAGACAATTTAGAATGTTTTTAACTGTTTAGCTTAACTACATCAAAGAAAACAGCTTTGAAATTTTGCTTGGTTCTTGAAATATATGCTTGCTTGAATGCTTTTCATGTAAACCCATGTTGTGTCCTTTCAGACTATAAACGAGTTGACATGAAACTCATGACCCAACTGCAAAACTGTAGTACTGCTTGTGATCTTACAACTGTAGGGAATCTCATATTCAATACTATCAATAGCTTTATAGGCAGGTTAATACATTTATTCCAAAATTTCCTTTTAGAATTAATTATATTCTATTTAAACAATATTTAAACATTAAAATTTTAAGTAATTATGATATGAATATATTTGTTTTTGCATAAATATTGCAATATCTAAATTATTTTTCTGTATTTATTTTTTATTTTATTTGGTTGTTTTTTGTAGCCATTTAAGTGAGCTGGACTTAATATGGCTCCTGGATAGACTGGATATCATGCAACTGAAAAGTTCAGAGTTTGAATTACAGACACACCTCTTTTTTGTCTGTAGGTTCCTCTGTACTCGGAATACTCATGCACACGATTTCAGTATCATCTCAAACTACATGCACATAAATCAACTCTGAATACAAAGGACAGGAGAAGACAAATGAGGATTCTATGGAACTTAACAGCTCCTAAATGAAAACTGTCAGTAACTCACCGTAGTGTCTCTACTTTACAGTGTGGATCCTTCAGTAGATCAGAGAGCTCCTTCACTCCTGACTCTTCTAGTTTTTCTTGTTCTTCTTCTCTGTTCCATAATAATAAATCTAATTCCAAAGCTTTCATCACAGGATCAATGTTATCTAATTGCCCATCAAGTTCCAGCCTGCAGAGAGAAGAAAAACTCTTCACATTCATAGCTCAACACACACAGTTGTTTTCTCAGTTGTTTGAACACTTTTGTCTATTCGGATCAGTCATGTTCTCAAAGCAGTTAATATGTGATTCTAAACAGAGGCTTACAGGCTAAAATAACCCACTCTAATGGCACAAAAGAAAACACTTCTACCAAACACTACAACTTACAATCAGGAGAGCAAATTCCTCTAAATTCAGGGCAGCATTACTATTTACTGTATTACTCTCTTTCTACACATTTGCACTCTCTATTCCTCAGACACTTAATCTATAATTATTTACTGTTGCATGTGGCCATTTTGATTATTTTACAACGTAACATTTGTACCGATACCTACGCTTGTATGAAAAAGTTTGGGCACCCCGGTCAAATTCCATGTTTATTTGATTGTCTAAGTGAAAATAAGTTAACACCTCTTCTACAGAGAACACACTTCTGCACATTTTAATGCACAACTACTGTATATTTACTGAATTAAATATACAAAAACATAAAAGTGTGGCCTGTGCAAAAGTTACATTTAATATTACAAATTATATTTTATTTTTTTCCTCCCGATACATATTACTCAAAAAAACAAAAACTGTGAAAATAAAGAAAAGAAAAAAAAATCAGGTGTAACATTATGACCACCTCCTTGTATCTATGCTCATTGTCCATTTTATCAGCTCCACTGATAAACAATGGAAATTTGACTTTGAAACATGCTTTTTTTCAGCATTTCAGAGCTTCAGTTTTATCACCATCGAGACAATATAAAAACATATTACAGTACATTGCTTTGTTACTTTAGAAATATCTATTACAAAAGTAACAGAGTAATCTAATGTCAAACAAAAGAATAATGCAACCAACTAAGAAGCTCAAATAAATATGAAATAGGCTTGCCTTTAAAATACATTTCAATATTTGGTGAATGAGGAATGATTAACAATTTTATCCATCATCCTTACTTTTTGATGAAATGTATTTTGCACTTTCTATATCCTAAAAGTGTTAATCATTCCCAGAAATGCCACTTCATACTACACTCCTCTGTTTTACTGTGTGTGTCAGTAACTCACTGTGGATCCTGCAGTAGATCAGGCAACTCCTCCAGTTCTGGAAATACTGTTAGCCTGCTCAGATCCAGCTTTCTCAGGTGTGCTGGGTTGTTTTTCAGAGCTTTAATCAGAGCATGCCAGTCTTCCTTTTTAATCCTGCAGCCACTCAGACTGCAGAGAGAAAAAGAATAACAATTCACATTTACAGTTCAAGACATACACATACACACACACACAGAAACATTATGGCCTTTTTCTACTGTAGAGCCAAAACTTCTCAGGGCCATACTGTGCTATTCCGTACTGATGCAGACTTGCGAGACCAGTTCCAGTTCCAGTTTCCATCCTCTGTACTGCCAAATCAGAGCCAGGAAATAATGAAGAACACTACACGAAAGAGTGGTTAACTGCTAACAGCCTAATACCTACACACACATCTAACACAGAACACGTTTGATTCTGTTCGTCACTCCAACACTTGGTGTGCTCTCAGATCCTTGAATGGGTGTTACCTGAGCATCAGTTACTGAAACTCAGTTTCTGAGTCTGTACTGTGGTGGGTTGCACCTGTAGCCAGCTAGCTATGCTAACATCAGCATGACCCAGAAGAGTACAGCTCTTATCGCCACAGGACAATTTATTTTTTTCATCTTTCTGTCACTTCAGCACCAGACATTCAAATTTGTGATCTCAGAAATTAGTCTTTATCCTCTAAACCAGTGTTTTTTAGGCCTTAACATAAGCTACAGCTTAAAACACTACAGAACAGGTTTGATTTCAGCTTCTTGTCACTCCAACACTAATCAGTCAGCTTAGCTCTCAATGATATAGTTTTTATTGTCTGTACTTGTGATAGCAAAGCAACAGCTAGTCAAATCATGCCTACTGGGGTGTTTAGATCTTACTATGTAGCTAGGAGGAGCTGTCTAGCATTAGCTTAACTAGGCAGCTACAGTTCTGTACAGCACACAACACATTTATTTCCACTTTTCTCCTCAACACCAGCAGCTTCCTCAGAGTTGAGTCATTATCATCTAAACTTGTTTCAGTGAAGCATCTCTGAAATCAGAACTCTGAAATCTCAACTCTGAAATCAAATCTGTTCTGCTGCGAGCAGAGCTAGCAGCATTCAAGCATGACAATGCCTATGTACACAAAACAGTCCATAAAGAAATGGTTCACTGAGTTTGCCTTGGATGAACCTGACTGGCCTGTGCAGAGACCACTGAACACCTTTGGGATGAATTGGAATGCCCAACACCAGTGGTCAACCTCACTCTGCCTTAAGAGTACTGCTGACCCCTGCTATGCCCATCACTGTGTGCTGTATGAAAAGGTTGGCTGGTCATCTCTGACTTTGCGTCAGGAAACACATTGGCTTCTTTTTTATCTATAAAGTACTCACTGGCCATCGTACATCACAAAACTACTCAGTGTAAATAATGCAGTTTATCAGACTCATTCCAGTGATCGGACCCTTCAGGTGCTGAGAGCTTTTACAGAGCTGGGAAAATCTGCTTTCTTCTCCAGAGCACCAGCGAGTTGGAATTCATTACGGGAAACTCTAAAGGTTCGCTCTCTGCTGTCACATGAACATTATAAACTTCGGCCCAATCCCATTTCTTTTTTTTACCCCTACGAAATGGGACCCTCAAATAAAAAAACAAACAAACATTGCTTTATTAACAGGCTACTAGCTCTGCTCTGTAGGCGACCCGGCCCGTCTGCAGTGACAGCAGAGAAGGGAAAAGTTCAGCTTCTCACTGCTGGGCTCTAGTTACATTTAGGGCATCATATGCTTTCAAGAAGGGGGTATAAGACAATTATTTATTATCGTCCACCGCTAATTCTTTGGTGATACGAAGCTGAAGTCCACTATTTGCCAGCTTCTTGTTTGAATTTTCCCGTTCCACCTTAAATGGAGCAGCAGTTACATTCTGGCACTTCAGGCATCAATAATGGTGGACTATTTAAGGCATTAGCATGCTATTAGTGATTTTTTATGCTAGTTATGAAGAAAACGTATACAATACATTAAAACAACATTAAACTAAGATAATACAATGGATAACACAATTTTTTTAACGGAGAAAATTTTTAGATTCGTGGGTTTCTTTGGTCGCTCATGCAGCCATCTTGCTGGCTTTTCTTTTTTTTCTCATAACACTCCGTTTGGAGTGTGCCTCAGAAAAAAGCTCTGTTTGGAGGGCTATATAACCCTAACACTTCGCCCTACCCATCTATCTCAACAAAAATTGGGACACCCTAACCCTAGACGTGAATGCACAAAACAGAGGGCTAAGTGGTAAGTCGTAGGGGCAAGGGGTGAAATGGGTTTGGGCCTTAGTCTCCAACCTCCTTCAATCAGCCTGCAACTGTTTTACTTGATTACACTTTTAATATAATTTTTGTATGTTTTAGCTACATTTTAGCTGTTGTTTAATGTTTATTATTCTTTCTTTCAATCAATGCTGAATTCCTGCCAGTTTTTTTGTCTAGTTCTTTAAAGGCTTTTTAAAATCTGGTGAAGGATACGCCAAAACACTCCTACAGTGAACTAAGCTGAGTCCGGATCTTTACATGCTAAACCAACACTCTTGCTAGAAATTAAATGTCTTGGGCTCCCAAGTGACGCAACCGTCTAAGCATTGGCCCTGTCATTAGGACATCACAAGTTTGATCCCTGGTGATGCTACAGTCGTCTGTAGCCGGGTGTCCAAGAGAGCACAATTGGCCTCGCTCTCTGGGTGGGTAGGATGGCCCCACTTCTCCCTGCATCATTCAACACGATGCTAGTCACCACAGGCATCTGTTAGCTGAAATTACAGATCTGGCACTTGGCGTAAATGTTAAATATTAGCCAATGTATTACCAAACTATCAGACAATGATTGCATTGCTGTTTATATGGGCTGTTATTATAAAGTGTAACGGAACAATATTTGTTTATGGGTATTTTGTTCTTTTAAAATGTATTTTAAAATGTATTTTAGCTTATTATTGAGTAACTGCATGAAATAAATGTGAAGCGTTTTGTAAAGGCTCCCTAAAATTAACAGAAAATGTGTTTATGATCACAAACATAATGCCATATGCTTAAAATTTACTGCTGAAAGCCAAAAATATTAGGTGTTCTCCATATTTTTTAAAATCATTTTTAACACTGCATATCACTGAAGAGACACCACCTGAGCTCCAGTGTATACATCAGATTTGTGGACAAATTGTTCATGCTTCATTAAAAAAAATGACTGTTAAACTCGCCTCTTTATGTGGTTATTCAATTCTAAGTAAAGGATCTCAGGTGGCATCTCCAAATGTCCTTTTCTCTCTAAAAACAGCCTCTAACAAGCATTTCTGCAAACACAGAATGCATGGGTTGTTTGGTGGGCATTGTCACTGTCAGAACAAAATCTCTCCAAAAAACTTTACAGGAGAAGGAAAAACATTTTTTTTACCTTCTTTTTTTTTTGACTGAAAACATTAACAAACCTTTTTCCCTCAATGCTAATGCTTAAACTAAACCAAAAAAAAAACCATACCACTTTCCATTTGTTTATATTATGTTTTGAGCATACTCGCTGTGTGCTCGCCGTTTTGGGCTCTGTAAATGTCTAGCTTTTCTCTCCCTTGTGATAAAAGAACAAAATCAAAATGTACCCACACAATGCACAAAACACATATATACGCGTGTCCATTAATGTGATTGTTTGTTTGTGTGTGTGTGTGTGTGTGTGTGTGTGTGTGTGTGTGTGCATGTGGGAGAGAGACAAAGTAAATAGCACATCCACATTCAGAAAAATAACAAACAAAAAATTACCTTACTCACCTCAGTGTCTCCAGTTTACAGTGTGGATTCTCCAGTCCAGCAGAGAGCAGCTTCACTCCTGAATCCTGCAGATTAGTGTAACTCAGGTCCAGTTCTCTCAGGCTAGTGGATTCTGAGCTGAGAGCTGAGGCTAGAGCTGCACAACTTTCCTCTGTAAGATTACACTGACATAACCTGGGTGAAAATGATGATACATCAGAAAAACTCAACATACACACACACACACACACACACACAACTATGTGGCAACAATCTGGTGGACATGTTTAAGCATGCACCTGTGCACAAAGGGAGGTCCATAAACCAGTGGATTGTCAAGTCTGCCATTGATGAACCTGACTGGTTTGTGCTCAGACATCTTTGAGATTAATTTTAGTGCCTGATTGAGTGGTACTGCCTGTGGGGAAAAGGTTTTTGAGGGGTGTTCTGATTTGTCTGGAAGTGTTTTTTTGGAGGAATAGGAAAGGAGAGGGATCAAGTCACTCAAAAATCTTTATTACAACTGATCCTAAAGCCAATGGCCTACAGTCATTCAGGCCTATGATCTTTGGTTCTACTGGTACAGACAGGATGTCTTAAAACAAGCAGGAACAGTGCACAATGTTACAGTGCATAGACTGATTAAATATGTCTGTAAACACTGGAACTAATTGGTTTGTATAGTACTTGTGGAGGGAGAGATGTCTGTGCCAGGGCCATTGCCTCTTAAATCATCTATAGAAATGGTTCATCTGTGAAGCTGGGGCTGTCTATGCAGCTAAAAGTTTTTCTTTTGTAGTTTGGAACATTATATAATATCCTTTTAAGTCTTTGGGAAACAGCCGTTCATATATATACTTTCCTTTGGATGGTCTAATGTCAGTCTTTGTAAGGAGAATAAGTTAAATCACAGATTGATCAGAGTTTCATAGGCAGGTGTATGGGGTAGCATGATAACCATGTAGCAGGGCACAAATGATTTTTTTGTATCCATTTTTTCCGGCTAGTGGGACCTTAAATCTCCTGCCCAATGGCAGCACCTGGAATGATGAATGAGGGGGGTGGGTAGGGTCCTTGTAGACCTGGGTTGCCTTTTTAGTTATGGATCGGATGTATAAGTTCTGGAGTGACAGTTGTTTATCTCTAATGATCTTACTAGCTTGGTTGACCACCTGGGCCAGTTTGTTTCTTTGCTTAATTGAGAGGTTCCCATAGCAGGACACAGTGTTGAAACTGAGAACACTCTCTATAAGTAACCTGTAAACCATGATCAGAGTATGTTTGCTGGTGTTAAAACTGCTCAGAGGAAAGAGAGCCTCTGCCTTGCCTTTTGGTAAAAATAATCTACATTACTAATCTACAAATCTAGAATAGAACATATTTAGGTTGTTTAAAAGGTGAACAGGATCCTCACACTGAGGAGCTACTCTGTGTTTCCTTCCCATCATTGTGGAAAGTCAGAGAAGAAAGTGAGTCAGAGGGAAGTTATGAAACATGACATGCTCTAAAAAAAAGAAAACTGACAATAAATATTCTTGAAATATTACTGAATTGTACTTTATTTGATTTGACATTCAGTTGTTGACTACCTAAGATCTTGATATACCTACTAGGCTACGTCAGCATACAGTATATGGCAGTGAATCATGATGCAAGTTAGACATTATGATGTTCCGGACCTTTGCTTGAGGATATTTTCTCTAACTGGACCTTATTAAATTTTAATTAAAGACCCCTGCTCTAGATCATCCAAATCCCAAGAGATTTATGGGAGGTAGTTAAAAACTCACCCCAGTTTCTCCAGTTTACAGTGAGGATTCTCCAATGCAGCAGAGAGCAGCTTAACATCTACATCTTGCAGTTCAGTCTTACTCAGGTCCAGCTCTCTCATATTTGAGGAGTTTCTGAGAGCTGAGGTCAGAGCTGCACAGCTTTCTTCTGAGAGATTACAACCACACAGTCTAGGAGAGAAATGATGATATGCCAACTGAAATTCACACACAAAGTAGTCCAGTATGCATACAGCCAATGGCAAGTGAACGAGGAAGCTGTTTTGCATGAAAGATCACCGTTCTTATTTTAAATGGAAATACTGGAATGAACTTCCATGGGCTACATGTATACAACACGTGTAATAAATGTTTTTTGTTTGTTTACTTTATATTGTTGCATGTAAGTTGTATTGCATCAATATGGTAGTGTCCTGATACTGGGTGGCACTGGCACCAAGAGGCTCTGGAGATGTGCACCTAGGCAGATGGCCACACACGAAGGCTCATGCAGCTGTTGTGTTGTTTGGTGTTGTTAGTTGTTAGTTTAAATGTGTAAAGAATTTGTTGATTTTCACTTTAAGAAGTGCAGCACTGTTGTGTGTGCTGTATTGTGTGTGCTGTATTGTGCTGGGCTTTGGAGTAGAAGGTGAGTCTGCGGTGTCTACAATGAATGGACTGTGTAGTACTAGAAGTGACCAGCTGGCGACCCCTGTGTATTTGTTAATGCTGTGCAGCAGGTTTCCCCTGCTGTGCTTGTCTGAAGCACTCCGTTTCCCATGTTGTCTTCTTCTACAATGACGCCACAATATATATTTTGTTCTCATATACTATTATTTAATAAACTTCTTTTTGCCAAGAATTCTTTGTGGCACCAGGGACCAAGTGTTGGCTGCAGGCCAGAGAAGTGGTCTTAGTGAACCAAGGGTTAATCACACAAAGCCCTGAAGCATGGCTCTGACCAGGTGACTGATCCAGGACTCCAGACTGAGAATGAAATGGTTGCAGTTGCGACCACAATTATTAATGTGTGAGCAATAAAATTAATCAACTCACCAGTGGCGACAAGTAACAACTTTGGATTATTTATTTATTTATTTTTTCATGAGTAACTATGTATTACTGTTTTTCTGTAATTATTACTCATTTGTTTTTATATATTTTCCTTTATCATTTTTCATCTAAAAATGCAACTGATAGGCAGAAGTGTTCATGTGACGCTACAGCCTATCAAAAAAACTTGCTTGCGGGATTACAGCCAGAGCTGCAAAATGCAATAAACAAAGCAGCTGGGCCAAGCTCAGCTTTTTACAGCGAACGTCGGCATGTAGAAGATGGCGAAGCAAAAAAATATCAGATTTTTTCACACAGTCTCTGTCAGACCTTAATTGTCATCTGCTCAACCCCAGTCTGACTCAGATGTGCTTGAACAACAGCCCACTTCAAGCACTTTATGCAAAAGTACAACCACAAAGATTTCAGAACTTCTTGTCTTCAGGAATTTGCCTGGTTCAGGTATGATAACAAAGCAGAGTATATTGCAAATTCTTTTTGAAAGCAAGCAAAGACACAGCTGGAAAAATACAAATCTTAACAGCAACAAATAATTTCAAAAAAGAGACTGTGAGAAAACATGGCAATAGTGAAATGCATAAAAATGCATGCGATTTCATTATTGCAGAGTGCTCTTACGGAAACTCCCTTACGCCCAATTCACACAAGCATCTGGGACGTTCTGTGGGTTCACACATGGAGCCTGTGTGAAAGCACTGACCAGTTAACATGCGTGCCAAAAAGAAAAGCAAGACTTTCTATGTCTGAGAACTGAACTGTGTGTTGAAAATCTTAATTTTTTGCATATTATTATCTGGCACCTAAAACCTACTGGTGCCTGATTTTTTTTTTCCTTTAGTATCCAGTGGCTTCTAAAGCTAATTTTTTGTCTGGAGCCCTACTAGCATACTTGCACTTTTATCAAGGAACGATCATACAGAGTGACACAGGACACAGGATATTGTTCTTGTCAAAGACTTGGCAAAACAATGAGTGATTCATACAGGATAAGAAATCTTGGTATAAATAGCAGAGATAGGAGTGGCTGATTGATTAATGCACCATCTTTACTCCAGAAAAGAGTAGAAAATATATTAAAATATTTAATTTAGCTATTTTTTCCCCCATTTACCCTAGCCATTAACCCTTCTGTCTTAAGTAAATACAGTGAGTCATTAGCATTGCCATTAGCTTGGAAATTCATAGAAAACAGTGAACATTACTGGATAAAATCAAACTTTTTGTCTGTAATCTGTACATGTTCTGGATTGTACATGAGACAGGACAGTGATGTTACATTTCAGCCTGATTTTAGCTACCAATGAGGCCAAAGTCCGCTTCCTATTTGCCAGCTTCTTCAAATTTACTAGTTACACCTTAATTTGTGCAGCAGCTACATTCTGGTGCATCAGGCGTTATAATAATAACTGCTGCCCCATTTCAGGTGGAATGGGAAAATTTGAATAAGAAGCTGATGAATAAGATGCTGACTTCAGATTTGTCAGAGAACATTAGTAAACTCTTCTTTGAGTGCATCCTTACTTAAGAAACATCTGTTCCACAGGATATGATTGCAATTTTACAGACACAGATTCACAGGTAAAAGGCAGTGGAATGTTTATTGACATGGGAATGCAGAGTCGGTAAAAATGACTGACGTGACAGATTCGGACTGGACTGAAATCAAGAATCAAGAAACGTCATTAATAATTACAGTACCCCTCCTCCCCATGTAAAACTTAGCTGTCCAAATAGAGCTTGTGAGATTTGGATTGCAACTTACAAATCCACTCAGCACACACAGCCTGCCTACATGCCCCAATCGTTACATACGGGATTATTTACATATTTTTGCCAAGGGTGCCTGTTATTATTCAGCTGTATATAATGTAATATTTAAGACATCAATACATTTAGGTATTGGGATGCATTTTTCCTGTTTTACATTAAAGTTACAAACCATACAGTAAAACATTCATAACTTAAAATACTCACACAACTTTTCTGGATGCTTCAACCTTTGGCAGCAGCTCCAGAAGACATTCCTCTGGTTGTTCATATTTACGCAGGTCAAACTCGCCCAGCTCCTCCTCTGAATTCAGCAACATATATAGAGAAGATCAAGAGAAAATGGGAAATTCTGAAATTGAGTAATCAAAATTTAGGAAAGCCTAAAATTTTGCAAATCTAAAATTGGTGCCGATTCACAGGGTTGGGATGTAACGGAATACATGTATAGGGAATACAAATTCAGAATGCAAAAATTAAGTATCTGTATTCAGTCCAGATCTGTCCAGGGTGTATCCTGCCTTCCGCCCAATGACAGCTGGGATAGGCTCCAGCACCCCACCGTGACCCAGAAAGATAAGCGGTTTAGATCGTGTGTGTGTGTATTCAGTCCAGGTTACATCGGTAAAGGCAATATTTAAAATATTTATTTTTTAGATTTTTAGGAGAAAACTTCAAACACTTACCCATTAAACAAAGAGGACCTAAATTAGCAGCTTATTTTCAAACACTGAGGTTCCTGCTAAAGCCTGAGCAGACTGATAAATCAATGAGATCAGTAATTAATCTGTGTTACTGAGCTCTGCTAAAGCCTGAATAGAGATAAATCAGTATGATGATCAGTCATTAATCTTATTGTTATTGAGCTCTGTAATACTGTATCGGTATTGGCACCAACACTGGCACTTAAACACAAGTGTAATGTGCCAAAAAGAGTCAGACGCTTGCGGTTAGAAAACACAATTGAGGCTTTACTGTTAGAATCAGAATCCATGTTTGTAGTCAGAAAACAGGCAGGGGTCAATTCCAAAAGGAGCAGCAAATACAAACAGACGATCATAACCAAGGACAAACAATCCAAGAGGGTTAAGCAAAATGGCAGTGTTGAGGAAAACACGCAAAAAGGTCAAAAACAGGAGTCAAACAAGAAAGGCAAACAGTCCAAAGGGGAAAGGCAAAAGGCAGAGTCATAAAACAGAAAACAATGGTCATAAACAGTATACAGGCAAATAGCAGAACACTTAGTAGATCACAAATGATACAATACCACGCAATTAGCTATGGCTAAAGCCCGGGCTTATAAACTAAACTAAGAAAGTCATATGACATGAGGCGCAGGTGAAGAGAATCAGTATTCAGGAGATCTAGAGCGCCGATTGGAGCGTAAGGAAAGGTCAGGAGTCATGTGATCTCCCAGAAGGTTCTGGGAGATGGAGTCTGAGTGGGACTCTGTGTGTGAGGGAAGCTCAATAGTCATGTGATCTCCCAGAGGATTCTTTGTAGGCAAGCATTAGGGTTTTAAATCTGATGCATGCAGCTACAGGAAGCCAGTGAAGGAAGCGCAGCAGTGGGGTGACGTGACTGAACTTAGGGAGATTGAAGACGGGCCGTGCTGCTGCATTCTGGATGAGTTGCAGAGGCGTGATGGCCGCATAGGAAGACCAATCAAGAACGAGTTGCAGTAGTCAAGCCTTGAAATGACAAGAGACTGCACTAGCACCTGGGTGGCCTCTCGAGTGAGAAAAGGTTGGATTCTCCAGATGTTGTACAGGAGAAATCTGCATGACCGAGTTAGGTTCGCGATATGAGCCAAAAACGATAACTGTAACAGAGCCGCTTACTTGAACGGCTGAGTTGCTTCTTTCAGTAATCGCTCGTCTGCCACTGAGTGGTCACATACAGTTAATGTTATTGAGAGAATGGAAGGGATCACCGGACTCTCAGCCTAGTGACAGGATTTAGCCTTTAGTATAGCAGCCCGGTAGCCGGGCCTGTGCATCCACTAGCCCTGCCTTTGGTGCACCTCCATCGGTCAGCTATATCATGCAGCAGTGGGGCAGTGGGGTCACGTGGCCCATCACTTCAACCAAGCCAAACAAAACACAGAAATTTGCTGATACTGACAGCATAAATGATGGTGACATTTACTGAACTGACGCTCAGAGATGCAACATGAGTGAACAAGACAGACATATGAGACAAATGAATTGAGAAATTTGGATGTTAAACAACATTCAGCTCCGTTTTTAAGCCAGAGAAGCTGCTGTGTGCTGATGTGTAAACAACACAGGTTTATATGTACACTGTTCAGTTCTGTTTTAAAATGAGCCACTTACCTAAACCGTCGCAACGATGGCAACCAAGGATCTGTTAGAATAGTTTACTGTCCAATCAGACATAACTTTGCTTCAAAATGCTCTAAATGAACACTCAAACTTAAATACTGTAAAAAAGTAAAAATGTCAGATGGAGCCGCTCGCTGTGCCATTTTCCTTGGTTTTGTCTGTGTTGAGGGAGAGGTTGTTTGATTCATCATTGTCCCTGATGTAGCCAACCACTGTGGTATTGTTTGCAAATTTAATAATGATGTTTGATATGTGAAGAGGAATGCAGTCATGGGTAAACAGGGAAAAGAGCAGAGGACTCAGCACACAGCCTTGTGGAACACCATTGTTCAGCGTGAGGGTGGAAGAGATATGACTGCCCAATCTTACAGACTGGGGTCTATTTGTCAGGAAGTCCAAGACCTAATCAATGGGGGAGGTCCGTAGTCTGTGAAAGACTGGATGACCTTCCACATGTGGTGGGGGTCAGAATTGTGGAAGTGCTCTTCAACAGAGAGTTAGTAGGCATGTTTGGCTTTCCTAATGCCTTTCTTCAGGGTTGCCCTAACTGAGCTGTAAGCCTCAGCATCACCACATCTGAAAGCAGTGTTGCATGCCTTCAGCAGTAGCCGAACCTCAGCATTCATTCAAGGTTTCTGATTAGGAAAGATTCTCAACCGCTTGACAGAAGTGACATTGTCAATACATTGATAATGTCGAGTTGATATTATACTACATGACATTCATTACAGCTGAGGTGCATGTGTTCAAGTCAGTGTGAGAGTCTGTAGTGGCTTCAGAGCTGAACATACTACACTGTTCTGAAACTGATGCTGTAGAGAGGAGATGCCTCCTCTGTCCACACTTCAACAGTCTTTGTAGATGTTTTCACACGTTTGATGAGTGACACATACTTGGGGAGCAGAAACAATGAGACATGATCAGACTGACCCAGGTGGGGGAGGGGGACAGCCTTGTATGCATCTGCAATGTTTGTGTAGACATGATCTAGAGTTTGGTCTCCTCTGGTCGGGCAGGAGACATTCTGGTGGAATTTTGGCAGCACAGGCCACACATTACAGTGACTGAAGTCCCCAGCAACAATAAAAAGTCCATCTTGGTGTGCAATTTGTTGTTTGCCGATTGCTGTATTTAGCTCTTCCATAGCTAGCTTAGTATTAGCATCAGGAGAGATGCAGGCTGCATTATCAATAACAGCTGTGTGCTCTCTTGGTAAATAGAAGGGATGAAACCTGATCATCAGATACTCTAAGTTAGCAGAGCACTGACTTTCAGTTACGGTGGAGTCCGTACACCCTGATTTGTTTACAAACACACAGACCTCCTCCTTTAGTTTTACCGGAGTCCTCAGCCACTCTGTCTGCTCTGAACACACTGCATCCCTCCAGCTCCAGTGCGCTGGTTGGGACATCCCCGTTCAACCACATCTCTGTGAGAACAATGATGTTACCAGGGATGGGGGGAGTAGCTAAGTAGTGTGCTACTTTTTGTAGCTAACTACAAATGTTTGTAGCTAATAGCTGTAGCCGCTCAGTTTTATGAAATGTAGCTAGTAGCTGTAGCACCTACAAATTTTTGTGTAGCTATAGCGATAATTTTCGCTACAATTTTGCTACAGGCTTCAGGCAATCCGCACAAAATGAACTATAGAACGCGGTTGTTAACTGGGCTAGTGGCGACTGTGCAATCCTGACTGTGCCGTGGACAGTTCGATCAATCACCCCTTACTAGTACGCTTAGCTCAGGGGGCGGCAACCGAAATGTTAAGCCATTTTGTCCTTTCAACAAAAAAGAAACCACCTTGGGAGCCACAACATTTTATGTCCGTTTTACCATCTTGGCTGTAAATATCTCTCAGTATGTGCTGATGTGATAGTTCAGGCTAAAAATATAAATGAAAACGCTGACGTACTTTGCTCTGCTTTAACCTTTAGCTCAGCTGTAACCGCTTTCCTCGCATCTCAGGAAACTGTTCAGTGAGTTTCTTGTAAAATGTCTCTCAGTGTTTGACTTTTTACGAGACTGAAGTTGCCTCTCATTTGCCAGCTTCTCGTTCAAGTTCTCCCATTCCACATTAAATGGTGCCTGATGAGCCAGTACTGCTGTGCCATTTAAGGTGGAATGGGACAATTCGAACGAGAAGCTGGAGAACGAGAAGTGACTTCAGCTTCACGAGTTGAAGCAGATTATAAACGTATGAGGAAACCAGCTGAGTGCTTATAAATGCAAATAAGTCCATTCATCTCCAAATTATCAATTTTCCTCTTAAATCTCTCTCTTTGCCTTTTTGTTATCTGCATTGCTGTGTGTCCAGCAGTCTGCACGTCAGTCTTCAGCATTAAAGGTTGGTGAATTAGCAATTATGCGTAACTCCAGCGTTTAAGACCATTTATTGTGAAAACTGTTAGAACTGTGTGTCATAATGATTTTACAGTAAAGGAGGATTATGTTATTTTACATAAAAATCTAGTTCTGCTGTGGAGCCACAACAGATCTGCAGTAGTGGAGAGATTATTCAGGCCTGATTCTCATCTCAACCAGAGCCAGGGTCAATGATGAGAATTTTGAGGCTGAAGTGCTACTGAAGTTTAACAAAGGACTCTGAATGTCATGTCTGTATGTATCTTGCTGAAATGTTTCAATTGGAGCAGTTGTTTGGTTTGTATTTGGTTGTTTTTGTTGACTTTTGTTAGGAAAAACATGGAATGATTGACTTTGCCTCTAGTCTAAATTTTTGTTGGATATCAAGCCATTGGTTCTGTAAGTTTGATTATTGGCTACACTTAAACTCACTTTTTGGTGATCTTTTTGTTTATTTGCAGCTTTTCAATTGTATGTTTCTGGCACATGATTAAATGCAGTGTCTTGTTCACACTTTCAGTTGGGCTTGTTTGGTGTGTCAGGTGGAGATTCTGACAATCGCACTGTGTAAGTAGCTAAAAAGTAGTCACTACTTTTCTAAAAAGTAGCTAAAAAGTAGCCACTACTTTTTCTGGAAAAGTAGCTAAATTGTAGCTAGCTATAAATTTTGGGAAAGTAGCTACAAAGTGGTTAGCAACAAATTTTTCAGTAGCTATACCAACCCTGGATGTTACTCTCTGATCCATCTGTGTTTTGTAGTCACAGTTCATCAATTTTGTTTGCCAAAGACCAAACATTGGCAAGAAAAATGCTGCACGCACTGCCATGTTGGTCTTCATGTATACCTTCTCAAAATGAAATAAGCAAATATATAATTTAGAGCAATCCTTGCAGAATATATGGTTTCTATATAACTGACTCAGATATAAGGACCTATTCATTTACATGCAATGTGTTTCTTACACTAAAACACCCACCTTTGTGTCCTGTCTGAGCTGGGATGTTGGTCTGGACAGAAGTGGTGTGAGCTGAAGTGGAAGCCATCTTCTAACTGAAACTTTGTCTAAATGTTGTCTATGATGCTGTCTTCACAAACGGACACTGTTGAAGATGTCATCTTCACTTTATACCCATCTGGTTTCCATGTGACCACAGGAGGATGGGCTGGAATTGTTTTTACAGATGGAGGAATGTGGAATGTTGTGCTGACAGATCACTGCATTCTCTTGACCTACATAGCTAAACAGGTTGGACTAGAGGAAAGAAAAAATAGATCTCATTTTAATCTCGCTTACTTCTCCTAGACATGGTTAGAGTCTTGTGCGAAACTAATATTAGACTAAGCAATGTATTTCTGAAATTCAATTCCAGAGCAACAACTAATTTTTCCTCACTGTTTCTCATTTTGATCAAAATATTTTCTCACTTATAGTCACTCAGACACTTTTCTGTCTGACTCATCTCCCCCCAGCCTCAGCTGAATAATACTTCCATAAGAAAAGTTTAATAGCACATTATAGAAAACCAAAAAATCCCCTAGAATTTGTACAATATGCAGCAGCACGGATCCTAAATAAAAATAACACAACACTTGCTGTAACTTAATTTTTAAGTTTTAGTTCTACTTCTGCTCCTTGTTCTAAATGGCCTTACAGCACACGCCTACCTCACAGGATGTCCATCTGTTTATGTTCCAACATGTGATTTTGGATCAGCAGATACTGACCTTCTGCAAATACCTACCATAAAATACAGAACATGTGGAGAGACTTTCAGTTATTCTGCTTTTGAACTGAAAACTCAATTGATCACATCATTCATAACTTCTGTTATTTATACAGCTATTTATAACAGATCATGTTTCATCAGAATCATTTCATTGTACTTACAGATCAGCCATGTACGTCAACAGTATCCCCATCTTGGAGCAGTCAAAATGGCTGCCAGGCTGCATTCAGTACAATTACAGAGCGGCAGTTTGAGAAAGCTACCATCTAAAATTATAAACCCCATTTCCAAAAAAGTTGGGATGCTGTGCAAAATATACTTTTAAAAAATTAAATGATGTACATATCATTTAAACCCTATATTTATTTGAAAATAGTACAAAGACAACAAATCAAATGTTGAAACTGAGAAATTTTATGGTTTTTGAAAAATATATGCCCATGTTGAATTTTATGCCAACAACACATTCCAAAAAACTGAGCTGCATCGCCTCTTCTTTTGGCAACACTCTGTAAGTGTTTGGGAACTGAGGAGACACTGCTGTAGTTTTGAAAGTAAAATGTTTTCACATTTTTGCTAAACATAGGATTTCAGCTGCTCAACAGTTCAGGGTCTCCTTTGTCATATTTTTCATTTTATAATGTGCCAAAAGTTATCAGTGGTGTCAGGTCTGGATTGTAGGCAGGTCAGTTTAGCACCAGGACTCTTTTAATATGGAGGAATGCTGTTGCAATACATGCAGAATGTGGTTTGACATTGTCTTGCTGAAATGATCAAGGCCTTCCCTGAAAAAGACGTCGTCTGGATGGCAGCATATTTTGCCAAAACGTGTATATATCATTCAGCATTAATGGCGCCTTCACAGATGTGCCAGTCATCTATGCCATGTGCACTAATACCATAATACCATCATGAATACTGGCTTTTGAACTGTGAACTGATAACAACCTGAGTGGTCTTTAGACTGGAGAACACGGTGTCCATGTTTTCCAAAAAGTATTTCAAATGTTGATTTGTTGGACCACGGGACACTTTTCCACTTCCCCTCAGTCAATCTTAATTTGAGCTCGGGCCCAGAGACGGTGGCAGCATTTCTGGATCGTGTTTGTTTATGGTTTCTTCTTTGCCTTTGAGAGTTTTAATTAGCATTTTTGGATGCAGGGCTGAACTGTTTTCACAGACAGTGTCTTTTCAGAAGTGTTTCTGAGCTCATGCAGTGATTTCCACTACAGAATCATGTCTGTTTTTAATGCAGTGCCATCTCAGGGCCTGAAGATCACGGCCAGCAAATACTGGTTTTTGGCCTTGTCCCTTGCATACAGAGATTTTAAGGTTATTATGTACTGTAGATGATGAAACGCAAAAGTTCTTTGCTATTTTATGTTGAGCAATGTTATTCTTGAATTGTTGCACTATTTGATCGTGCAGTCTTTCACAGAGTGGTGAACCCCTCCCAAACTTTACTTCTGAAAGACTCTCTGTGATGATCTTTTTATACCCAATCATGTTATTGACCTGTTGCCAATTAACCACCAGGTGTTTTTTTTGTAAGCATTACACAACTTTACCAGCTGTTTGTTGCCCCCGTCGCAATTTTTTTGGAACGTGTTGCTGGCATTAAATTCAAAATGGGCATATATATTTTCAAAAAACAAATTTCTCAGTTTCAAAATTTGATATGTTGTCTTTGAAACATTTTCAATGAAATATACTGTTTAAATGATTTGCACATCATTGCATTTTGTTTATATTTACATTTTTCACAACAATTCAACTTTTTTGGAAATTTGGTATACTTTTATTATAAACAGGCTAATATAGCAATGTTTGTGCAATGTTTATGTATACATATGGCTATGCGGTTGGTGACAGAACGTGTTGGTGTAATATTTTTTCCTCTGGTTTTCTATTGAGCTTGTGTCATTTTATAACCTATACAGGATATCTTAATTTGATGGGAACTGTAGTTTATAATATTTTATTGATTGTTGGTTTTGGGCAAATGTGTACTGTAACTGCAGACATACTTAATTCAATCTAGAATCTACTCATACGATTAGCACTGTCGTACTGTGTTTTGGGGGGTTTATGCGCCATACATGTGTATGTGCATGAAGCTTAGAAGTAATTCCCACATTGAGGGGATTGCTTATGTGTGACTGTTCCTACTGGAATCCGCACTACCTTTGGACTTTACAATGTTAAGCTGTCTGCATACCACATGTAAACGTACTTAACCTCGATCAAGGTTAAAAATCTTAACATGGTGTATTCGATCTACTGTCTCTTTGCTCGGATGGATTCCATCACTACCTGCAAGCATTTAACATAAATGAAAATATTACTCAGAAACTTCTTATGGCTGTTTTCAGCTTCTGATTATAGCCTACTGTCGGTACCGGATGTGTTTTACAACTATAGTGCCATGTAAATCGGAGATTTAAATAATCAGCAGCATGCAGAAATGTCTGTCAATTATTCATCCAGCACTGAATCCAGTTCTGTATTCAACTGGTTTCAGTCAAACAACTGATCATGTGATCTCTGCTTTAGAATCAAAACCTGCAGGCACACTGACGCTTTGTGGCTAAGAGTGGACACCCCAATTTATGTATTTATATCTACAATTGTGGCCGGTAATCAAGCCAATTAGCTTAGCTAGTTAGCCAGCAAAGCTCTATAACAGCAAGGCTGTGTGCCACTTTACCTGCTAATGCTCCTTGTTCTGAAATTGACAGCTTCAGCAATCAAAATCATTGAGTTCTGTGGTTATCGTTAGCAGGGAATGACAGTAATAACTACTGAAACCTTTATTTGTTTAATGGCAACTAAAATCTACAAGCCTTCTCAGATTGTTACTAGTTATTCATGTTACTTATCAGTGAAGAGATGACATCACATCAAATATCACAAAGACTTAAGCAACAGGATTCCAAAAAATAAATAAATAAAAAATGTGCAACTTATATGGAATAATCATTTTAGGATAGTTTCAGCTATTTGTTAAACTACAAAAAAGTGAATATGCTGGACAACACCCAGAGTAACAGTGAATGAAAGAGTATTAGCTTAATTTCTGCAGATTCAATCCACAGTTGTTTTGACTGTCCAGCATAATATAACCTCATACAATAAACAAAACATTTTTCCTCAGTATCGTAATGTACATATGAGAAGCTGAGAATGAGAATGGGTTGCGATATCTGAGGTCTTTAACATTCCACTGTTGACATTACTGGAAAATCTTGTTCATGTTTTTTTCATTTATTCTGGACAACAGCAATGCTCTTTCATCTACTCTTCCTAAGAACTTTCATCTCTAATCTGCAGTGAGTTTAGCATGCCACTGCCAGAATCCTCACGCCAACTAAATGCCAAGTTAAGTCAAAGTTTATTTATCTTGCACTTTTTATAACAGGTATTTTCACAAAGTAGCTTCTGGGTCCAACCCCCAGTGAGCATCCCCAGGGGCCAATAGTGGCAGGAAAAACTCCCTAAGATCAAGAGGCAGACACCAGTCTGTCAATGGATCTAGATTAACCAATGTTAAGAGAGTAACAATGAGGGACGACAACACCAGTTTACCATAATCCATGTCAATGAACCCCCAGATCTGCACCTTTTATCTAACGAGAAAAACTAATTACCAAATGCTTGACAAAACAAGTAGGTTTTTAGCCTAGACTTAAAGACTGAGGCTGAGTCCTGAACACTTACTGGGAGGTTATTCCAAAGCTGGAGGACTTTGTAAGAAAAGGCTCTACACCTGTGATGTAACTTTTAATAGCGAGTAATAGTAAGCCAGCATCTTGTGATCTAAGTAGACAGTTCATAATTACCCCCTTTCATGCTGTACACTGGGGGTCTATCCCCCGCCCAGGCAAGTACCCTACACTATACCAAGACTGAACACTACCTTTGCCTACCTGTGTAAGATGAAACCAATTAATGAAATCGATCTGCATAAGAGCGTCTGCCAAATGCTGTAAATATGAATATAAAAAAGATAAGTTTCATTCAGTTCACAGAGGGGCAAGGCCATTTAGAGCTTTATATATCAGTAGAAGAATTTTGTACTCAGTTTGGAATTTAACTGGCAACCAATGTAGAGTTGATAAAACTGGGCTAATGTGGTCAAACTTTCTTGTTCACATAAGGACTCTGCAGCATTCTGGACAAACTGAAACTCAAGGCTGTTGCTGGAACATCCAGACAGGGCATTACACTAACCCAGCCTTGATGTAATAAAGATGTGAACCAGCTTTTCCCCTGTCTGGCAGAGACAGTGCATTTCTTAATTTGGCAATATTATGAAGATGAAGGAAAGCTATTCCAGTAACATTGCTTAAATGTACA